TTTTTTTTTTTTTTTTTTTTTTTTTTTTTTGAAACAAGTCACAAAGCTTATGGTCCACTAGTTATGATCTTTAAGAAAGTGAACATTACATAAAGACTTTGTATGGTTGTGTTTGCTTCCCTACTTCCATACCAGTTTTGTTTGGCTTTCAGGTCCATTAACTGCGTAAGGCAGATACTGGAAAAAGAAAAATGGTGTTAACCCATCACCAGTATGAACTGAATCTCACTTCTATAGATAGAATCATATTAGTGCAAATACCTGTTTTGCTCGCTTGGTCTCTCCATGACCTAAGAAACTCTAGTATGGAAGGGCTCTTCCTCTTGATATCAAACACTAGTCACTATATCAAATCCGTAGTGAGGATATCCATTATATGATAATCCTTAGAGCCTATAAGCTGATCATAGTTAATAACTATAGAAGTCTCTACTATGGGGTTCAGTCATTTCAAGAAGAGTAAATACTTTATCAAAGCTTAGATAAGCTTAATACTTCCCTCCAGTTTTTTTACTTTCATCCACCGAAGAAAAAATATGTCATCGTTTAACAATGGTGGATTCTTGGGAAGCACTCATCTTCTGTCACCAAAGTACTGTTCTCTATGAAGCAATCATAAGAAGTGTAATCAACAGTTCTCTTGGATGTCACTTGAGTTCTCTAGGATTACTAGATGTTTCCTCATGTGCATAAATAATATTTTTTTTTTGAAAAACATTTATGAGTAAATTTTTAAATCTTATTGTTTTTCAAATATGCTTTTTTTTTTGTCGACACAAGTTCATATAGCCCAATGGGCAACATTACAATTTGGTACTGAGCTAAACAAGTAAGACCCAAAAAAATTACATTATGTTTCAGAAAATAAACGAAAGCGGTTTATGCTATCTCATCACCCATGCGTCAGTTGGAAAAACCGAAGGAGACACCACGTGTCCTTCATGCAACAAATGGTTATCTCGACTGTTGGGGAGCTTCTCCGCCGCGAAAGTGTCATCGTCTCCGCTTCTGATCTTTTCCACTCGCTCCAACAGAAGCGCCTAGCTCTGAATCCTCACCGTATACCCAACACCAAATTTGATTGCCTTCCACTTCTAACGTACTAACTTGAACAAAGAGGCCTTGATTCCACCGGAGCTAAGATCAAAGGAAGACTACATATCAATAGAAGTTAAGACTCTTTGCCGGACCGTTTGAAACAAACGCCGCCTCTACTGAGTCTCCTTCATAAACTATTTCAGTTTCCATCACCTCCTCATTCTTTTTATCAAAGATGCTCTAAATATATATAATGGAGACTGATTCTTCTAAAAAAGAAAAAATAGAAGCGGTGAAGAAGGTGTTTGACCAAGTAAATATCGGGATGTCAAGTGAAACCTAGTGGAAAGCATATTGATAACTCTCCAAAGAAGATAAAAGATAGTTTGTAGATCCGCTTCAACGAAGAGTAAGAGAAACACAACAAAAAAATCGCCACCGCGAAGATCAAAAGTCGGCTAACCCGAAAGGAAGATCGACCTTAGAGATCGAAAGATAATTTACACACAAAAAGATTTCTCGATCCCCTGTGAAAGATAGAGGTCCGTGAACAGGGGAAATCGAGAGAGAAATCTCTCTCTAAAAGAGGGGAGAGAACCTCCTTAGAATTTGTTCAAATAGTTTTTCAAATATGCTTTTAATTTTTAAATAACTATAAAATAATAAGTTATTTTAATTAAATAAAATTAATTTGATTTTTATGAAATATTTATATACTATATTTTACTTTTCTATTATAAATTCAGTAACTCTAATCATTTATATACTGATATATAAATTACTACAATATGTAAATTTATATAACTGGAATTGTTTATGTTACGATCATCTTGATATCATCTGAAAAATTGTAAATAAAGATTATGTTCTTTAAACTAAATGACATAGTTATTTTAAAAGAAATATGATATATTTGGAAATTATTTATTTTTGTAAAAATAGACTAAATTTTGGAGATATATAAAATATATAATTTACAAAACAAATTGTTTACAGAAATATTATAAAAGATAATGCACATGTTTTATTTACATATGTTTGTCTATATTTAGTATTTTGTCTTAAACATGAATAAAAATACCATGTATATCTATACTATTAAAACACAAGGCCTTTTTTTGAGATGCCCTTGGTTTTTAAAAGTAATTACCATGTTCTGCCACTGGTATATTTTTAGTCTATGCTTTTGATTAAATTGCTTTATTTTTTATTTTTTATTTTTTATTCAAACAGAAACTCCTACATTACAGCTACGTAATTCTTTTATTTTACGTAATACATAATGCATTCCTAATGAAACAATAACGTATCATTAAATAACAAAATAACATCTACATTTTAAATAAACCTCAATTGTATCAACACTGATTTTCTTTTCTTATAGATTAGATGTACCATCTCTTTGTATATTGAGAATGATGTTCCAGCAATACTAAGCTTGACCGTTTATTGGATTCTGCAACCTTAAAAATAAAAACAATACACATCTGTTAATATCACTGTTTTTACCATTCGTCACTTCTAAACAGAAGTTTTGCTTACAAACGATTGCACCAGAAAATCCATATATTGCATTATTCAAATATAGTCGACAAAATTATTTAAATCCCAAACTTTCCCAAATCAAATACCAAAAAAAAATATTTTTTTTAACACACAAATACCAAAAATATAATCCACTAAATCAAAACCTCAAAACTTGGCAAATAAACTTGATTTTCGGAAGAACCTACCTACCAATATCACATATACTAAATCATTTGTACCAATCTTTTGAGAAAAGGATCTAAATTTTCTGAGGTTCCTTAGATAACAATAAAGAATATACCAAAGTATAACTACCAGGTGGAATTTTTTATTTTCACATTTTCAAAATAAAAATAACAACCAATCAAAACAAGATTAATGATTTTACTAAACTCACACCTTATATACTCTAAACAGGATTGATTCGGAATATCTTCCACAGCCCTTTTTTATATATACATCATATTAACCTCAGATCAAACACGCATATATCAAAACCATTCTCATATAATGTCTTCTAAGAAAAAACTGGTGTACCTTGATGAGATTAGGCCATGGAAACAACTTGGTTGATTGAAGCCATAAACCCCTGGAAACCATCCAATGGAGAATTTGGTGAGACTTTAGACATCATATTGGCAGACAAAAAGGTAATACTGCTATAATTTAAAATTTTCAAAAGTAACAATTAGTTTTATTTAAATCGTGAATAGTGTGTTATTCTTTAAAATTTCTTTAAGTGTATCAAAGTTCATGCTACTTGTGGGAACTATTTGAAATCTTTGGGGATCAATGTATTTTTGGCGAATGTAAAACTATTGAAAACTTCCAAGTTAACGAACCTTGAAAACAGTTCTGACCAAAAGGAGAGCTAATAATACCCGGTAATAAGAGGAACCTTTGTTTGGTATAGATTGTGACCATTTTCATTTACTCCTGAAACAAAACCAGAGAATAAAGGTTCATGAAACAATAATCAAACTATATTGAAGATAAATGAGAGCTATGTTCTAATTAACAAATGATATATCTTTTAGAACTTTTAAGATTGAAGAGTCTTTTACAATTCTAATCATCATAAACTAATAAACTAAACAATAACAGTTCATGACAGAGATCTTAAATATATCAATATTCAGTACAACCATAGGAACATTTAAATAAACGGACAAAAATACCATGACTGTTAGCAGTCAAAAACAAACCAATCATGAAGTTCACATATCGCAGAGGGTTCATTTTAAATCATGTATGTAGCCAGAACAAATAAAAAGTAATTGCTATTGACACCAACATTACTATATAGCAATTTAGTAAAGATTCCAACATCCAATAATCAAACAATTGAATAAAGACACTAATACATCCAATCTCGAAACTTTGATTAAACAAGCTTGTGTCCTCAAGTATGTATTGATACAAATTTTCAAACCATTGCAAGTAAAATCAAACAGAGATCAAAACGCAAAATATGAAAATGAATGGATATATATTATAGCATACACCTTTAAAAGATGTGAGAAAAATTAAAGACTTATCTTTAGAACAAGAAGTTGAAGGTATTGAGTAAGCAGTTTTCTCCTGATCATTGATCCACAAGCTTTTAACGGCAGAACTCATCAGGTGACATGAAACATATTCTGAAAATAGTAAAAAACTTCAGATATTTATTTTTATTGTTTAAGTAGACTGGCTGAACAAACTTATTTGAAAGTAAATTGACCTGAAGAGATTGATCTTAAACCATCCTTCAGCTCCAGATCGATATGCCCTTTCTGATCTTCTTTAGACATAGACGAAACTGACAGAATCGACCTTGGATGAAGCAGATCACTCATCAGGTGAGAGATACAAAGTATATCAGAAAAACAAACAAAAAATGGGTTATTGAAGAGATACCTTCAACGATTTGTGTTGATGGAGCAAGTTTCATCAGATCTCTGTTTACTGAACATTTTGATTTAGAGACGAACTTTTTTTTTCTGAAGAAGCTAATTGTGGAATGTCAAAAAGACAGGTTATCTTTTGTTGGTTGGTATAAACGTGTTGTGGGTCTAAACAATATTGAAAATATTTTAACATGAATTATAAGCCCAACTTACATGAATTATAAACCCAACATAAATTATTACCCTATGTATTTTCAATAGTTGTATTCGATTAGTATTTGACATAAAATTGGAACCTTTTGTATTTAAGATGAACTTTTCTTTTTTGAAACAAATTTTTAAAAGTCTTTAATACCTTGGCCAATGTATGCAGAATGTTTTTACCTAGGTAAAAAAAGTATGATCTTCGTTTGTCAAAATTAAATGTAATAAATTGGAAGGCTTTA